TCCTTTATTAAGGGGTTCTTATAAACCAACCAACTTCACCTCAAAACATCACATATTGGAATATTTAGTGTCTCCACACCATCAATTCTATGAACTTACCCTCATGATACGTCCCACTTGTGTCTAAGTTTTTCCTAAAACAATAGTAATAATTTTTTATGTTAACTATTAGTTAGTATACAATATAGTGTTCATCCACAACTCCTCACTAAAATTACTTTCTTCAATAAACATTTTTTCATGATTTTAGTATGGCACATTCTACCATCAATGAAATACCCACTATTCTTATATTTAAATTTCAAGATCCTCCCAATTCTCCAACACACTTCTATCCAAACAGAGTTCCTCCAAGCTTTTAGGACTATCCCTAAGTTATCTAGTTTTTAGACTTTGTTAATTCAACATTCTATAAAGTTGTAGCCTCTTTGCTACTTTTGAGGTGCCACCACACTTCAATACAACTTTTTGTATTAACATTCTATTCATAAAGACCATCTTTATAAGTGTTACTCTGACACTTGATTATCCTTTATTTTACATAGGTTACATTTGCCCATTGGAACTATCCTTCCATATAAAAAGAACACCAACTCATTCTTTGAGTACACCTCTGAAATTCCTTGGGTTGTTCTGATTTTTATTAAACGTAGCCCCAACTACCATTTCAAGGACATATGTCTTTATTCATATTTGACTTTTTACAATTACTAACCTTTCATGGTTATTAATTCTAGTTTCAAATTCATAAGCACCATCTTTAACCACATGAGGATAATCTATCGACTCCTTTATTGTCCAGAGTCTCTATCTTTCTTATGATCCCAATTATAATTGTTTATCACAACTATATTAGCCAATTTGCTAAGTCAAACATTTATATAAATCACACCCTCAACTTTCTAAGAAAAACTTTCTATTATTTCCAAAATCCTAAAGTCATTCCTTTATTAGCCATTTTCTATCCTCTACATTACTTACACATTCACATATGAACTCAAATGGAAAGTCATGCCCTCTTGACATACTACTCCTTAAGAGAATAGACCCACTCTTAGGACACTTTGATGCTAATATCAAGTGGTGATATATTTGACCACCAATAAAAGTTAAACTAAAGAATAGCTTCAATACCAAGTTGTAAATGACTAAATTTTCCATTCTACTTTAGTCACTTTACCACACCTTTAACCATTTGAAGTCTCATTCATAACCTCCATAAGTTTTATTCCTAACTTGGGAACATGCTAACCCCATGAATAGCATCTATGCCATTCAACCTTTGTACTTGTTCCAAGTGCTCCATATATCTGATCCCATGATAAATACCTCAAAGGTATTATTGGAATTTCAACCTATTACTCTAAGGCCATATCCATTTACTCTTGCCTCACTAGTAGTCCAAAACCACCTATACTATAATCCCTTCTCCCAAAGACTAGAAAGTGTTATATATACTTCCTTATAATTACACTAATGATTTTAGGATTGTGGAAAATGGTAACAATGAACAAATGAGATTATCAACCATTCCATGGGAATTGCCTAGAAAATGATTAATGAAAAAGGATAAATCATAATATTCTATATGGACAAAAAGTCAACACTGGTATATAAAGAATTCCAAAAGTATGCACTTAATATTCATATAATTTTCAATGACTATCCATTTGGATATAATTGATGACTTGGGAAAGATAAAGGTTTGTGTAATATTAATCATCTAGGAAAATTACCATTTTAATTTTTGCAGAAAATCAACTCTAAAAATAAAGCTAGTAAAACCAAAAAAAGTTGAACCATGGTTTACCGCTACTACATTTAACAAATGGGACCTCAATAATGATTTCTTCAAGTTCACAAAAATATTTTACCACTATATAACAATGACGCAAACTTGATTAGGAGGGTATATAATTCTTTGACTTCTTAATGCATTGTACCACACTGAACAAAGGTGTCATTTTGGATCTATTTGCAAGAATAGGAAACTCACTTGTGGTAGCAGGGACAAACAAATGCTACCTTTTGTCTTTAGAAGAAAACCCTAAAATTCTAATAATCTCAAACAAGAAAAGGAAGAGTTAGTAGTTAAGATGAAGAAGGGTAAAGGTAAAGAACCAATTTTTGAACTTTTAGGTGACTCTGATGAAGAAGTTTAAATTCAAAATTCTGAAGATGATTAATAGATTTTAAATAAGTAAGTTTTGACATAATTATCACTTATTTAAATTTAACTATATCTTTACTTAGTTTTATATGAATGTCTTTAATATACTCTCATTTCTTACATAATTTCTAAACTTCTGAAATGGAATTATATAAAAAAGAAAACATATGATAACTTGATAAAATAGAAAACATATAACACTAAAAAATTAAAACATTGGACTCCATCTCATGGTTGTCGGTTTCTTCTTTAGAAACATTGTCGTCTTCATCATCTCAGTTATCAGACACATCACTATCACTATTTGCAAAAAAAGACTTCACCCCATCTTTAGCTAGATGAGTTTTCTTGGGTGGGGAGGAGAAATTAGAGTGGAAGTTAGAGTGTTAAACTTTGGTATTAGATTATAATGGATTTTAGTGATGAAATTGGAGAGAAAATAAGTATGGGCCATGTAGTCCCATCATCATCCTCAAAATGTAATATGGGCCTATTTCACCTAAATTCTCTATCAACATCTCTAGGCCTTGCTACTCTCATTTCTACAAGGATAAAATATAAGAGCCTAAAGATGTTGATAGAGAATCTAGATAAGAGACAAGGCAATATTTTGGCAGTGGCTAAGAATTTGGACGACCATATAAAGAATGTGGAAAAACTTTGGTGGATCACTTGATAAATCTAACCTTAATGAAAGACTAAAAACTTCATTCATTTAAAGTTCCTCTTCCAAATTTAAGAAACATTTGAAATCTATCAAGTCAAATTTTAAAAAACATTAGAGTTTGATATTTGAATCTAACTCTACAAAAACCAAATAATATGCAATAAATTTATCATGGTCAAAATATAATACGGTGAAACTTTTTCAGGTAAAAATTAATTTACTTGATTTCACATTATATTAAAATATATTATTTTATTTATATTAATAAAAATGATAAAACTCCATATTAATTTACAATACAAAATAAAAATTCTAATAAGTCAAATAAAATTCAGAATATCAGAATCTTAAAAGGTATATTCTAGGTCTATTTAAGAACATATCCGATCTACCAGGCTTAAACCTTAAGATAAACATCCCCGAAGTTTTCATCTCTGTCCAGCTTCGTTTTTAGTTTTGTTGTTTTCATCTGTCAAGGTGCCACCTGTTCAGTGAGCCATTCAGGTGAGAAGTCTTCATTAAGCTGTTTCTTAAGCAAATCTCCATGGAGTGAAACGTGAGTGTCACTTACCCTTTTGTAGAGCCTTTGAAAGCATTGAAGTGGATCAAGCAAAAAGCTTGTACTCAAGGTTTTCATAGATTCTTATCCTCTTGCTTCTCTTTTTTTCACTCCTGCAGGCTCCTGAGCTACAAGATCTTTTCTTTTCTAAAGATAGAGCTTTGTGTAAGAAGTTTTCTCAAGTTTTTTTGCAGAAGAGTTCTTATTCGCTTCTTTTGGTTTGCGCTAGGACGTGTTTGCTGCTGAGGGAAATGCCATATCTACTGGATGGAACTGGATGAGGTCGTGCTACGGAACAAGATCATTCTCGAGCTACTACTCACGCTCCCAAGGTTTGTTTCTCAATTTGAGTCGTTTTCTTATGCTATTTCATCAACGTTTCCTTTTCTTTTAGATTGTTGTAGAGGAAGCACGGCTTTCATTAGTATTCAAAGCCTTTAAATCAACACGTAATTCACTTTGATCTATTGAGGTGCAATCTTTTTCCGAATGGCAGGCAAAGTTACAGCTCTTGAACGACCTCGAGATGGTGGAGATGAAGATCGTGACAATTAGAGCTTGCTGGAATAGGTAGCACTTGATCAAATCTTCCTTTCCTCTTTGTTTCACCTGTGTAATTCTCACCTTCTGGAAAGGAATTGGCAGATAAAGTTCTAACGAAATGATTAGCTACAAACTAATCTTGATCTAAGCTCTGTTGGAAATTTGAATTTCCCGCCCTTCGCCAAAAGCCCTAGTCCTACGATGAGGAGCTTTGGGATTAACAAGCCAAGCGCCGGCGAGCTCGCGTCACTCTGCGGATCATACGACAGGTTTGAGCGCCAAGTCCCTCGCGGCGGCGATCCCAGGCGGCTGGATCTTTTGCGCTCCCGGCCGCTGCCGCCGCCGCCGCCGCAGAGCCAGCAGCAATCCTTCTCGTCCTCGCAATCCTGGCGAGAATCTCAGGTCACGGCCAGGGATCTGGTCCCTCGGCCACTCCCAATCTGTAGCCGATCGGACGATGTGATCGAGGAACGGCTGGCTGCTCTGGAAAATCTCGTGGCCGGGGTTGCGGAGAGCGTCAGCTCCATGCGAAAGTCTCTGGACGATCAAAATCGCGAGGTCTCTTTCATGGTGCGTTCTTTCTTTTTTTTGTCCTGTTCTCTTTATCTAATGTTTTTTTTCCTCTTGTGAATGGAAGTTGAAAGAGGAGGAAGGCACCATCAAACGAGTGCTCGATCAGATCCAAGCTGTGCCCGCGAAGCTGTCCGGGGATCTCAAAGCAGCACTCCGAGAGGAAATCAAGCAAGCGCTCTTGGAGTCGGACGAAAAAACTGTGAGCCAATGCATCCCGTCAAAGGATCCGAGAGACAAGACTCCGTCAAGTGTGGAAACAAAGGAGAAGAAAGGATCGAATAGCAAGAGGAAGTCAGCAAGTGCGGAGGAGCAACGATCTGACGGTAAGACTCTGCTTTTCTTTTTCGTCTTAGCTTTATCAGATTCTCGTACTTTGCAGATTCCACGACCTTGGATCTCTATTCCCCAAGCGCAAAGGAGCTCAAGAAAATGCGAGACAAGGTCCTCAGAGCTCGGAGGAGCATTAAGAAACGAGTTTGACGAGATCCTGGTACGAAGAAACTTTTTCTGTTTAAATAAAACAGTAATGTGATTTTCCAGGAAGTGAACGAGAACAAATCGGCGAGGTGGAAACTATAATGAATCGATCAGGAAACTATGAGATGAGCTACGGGACGTCGTCCTTCCGAGCCACATCTTCAAATTCCTGGCCGAAGTTGCTCCGCTACCGGTCTTTGAGCTCGTGCTCAAAGCTGAGCAGCGTCTCGCGAATTCTCGGCAAAAACGACTCGAGTTCCTTGGCGAGCCGGTTCTTCTCCGCTGCGGGCAGGCCCTCGTCCTTGGTGAAGTCGACCTCGATCTAAATCAACCAAGGACGAATCCATCAACTTGGTATGCGCAACTTGATCACCAAAGAGCTAAACTTTTACCTGGAGATCGTCCAGCTCGCCACAAGATGCGTCCAGGAACTTGAGAGTTCCCGTCAGGTCCTTGAATTCGTCGAACAGCAAGCTCCCTGTAGCAACATCGATCACTCCCTCGAAACAAACAAGAAAAAGAAACAGAGAAAAACAGTACCTTGGAATCCTAGAGTGATGTCGAAGGAATACCCAATGCGCTTCTTGTTACGCACCGTCACGACTGTGGCCTGCATCCATCGCTCACTTAGAAATCTCGGAGAAAACGAAACCAAAGAGAGAAAAAGAAAGAGAATCTTTCGTTCTTACATCTCCACTGCAGCCCACAACTTCCGTGACTCGAGCCGATCCATCAGCGTACTCGATCGGTTCCAGCGCAAGGAGCATTTCCTGGGAGCAAAGGAGCACGAATTATTTTCTCTCCAACGAAAGAACCCAAGCTCATACCTTTAACCTCGCAATTGCCCACGAATTTAAGTTCTTCTCCTCCCATGTCCCCAGCTGCAAGAAGAAGAATGCGAGATTTCATTCAACGAATTCCATCCGTGGCACGAGATCTACCTGATTCCACGCCGAGCCGACGCGATTTTGCCGCGAGACGAGCGAATCCCCCTCGGCGGCCGTGAGCTTGCGAGGGACTTCCGCTTGGCAAGTCGCCTCGCGGACCCAGTAGGTGTAGGACGCAGATTTGCCGATGGCGGCATCTGCTGGAGCATCCATTGACGCTTAACAAGAAACAACACTGGCCCCTTACCGCGACCTCGATCGATCGAGCCCCCACCGGTAGAGTGGAGGAACCCTAAAAGCACGCCAATCGTCCAATTTAGGGCTCCTAGAGATTGGTCTTTAGTGGCAGCGGCCGAGCTGTGGCTTTGCGGCGAGCCCTACCGCCCACGGCAAGAATCTGTGAAGCTGCCCACAGCGAAATCTCGCGCCTCAAATCAGCCCCCTGGAACGCGGAGAATCGGTTCTAGAGGTTGACCAGGCTCTACATTTTCCTATTCTTTCCTTTGTTCCAGCTTCTGGACGGAAGAAACAAATCTAGCATTGCTTCTATGCTATAGCTAGGTGAGCGTCCCTCGAAGCTGGGAGAGCAAAATTTTCACTTGGTACTCCTCTGGAAGCCACTGTCATTCTTCTCTGAGGCTCAAATGGGTGAATACATAGAGTGTTCTTCATTACCCAGGAGGATCTCAAATTCTTTGCCGCCAGGCAAAGCCGAGAACAAAAAATGGAGTCTCCATTTTTCAAAACTAAGATCCAAGCTATACGATTGCTTGAGTCTATGACAATGTTTGATCCGTAACTTCCTGCCATAATTAATGAATATTCTTCGAATATTCAATGTCCTAGTTATACCCATTAAAGTTATTGAAGATTAAGTTTAATCCTAAATCAATAATTTTTAAAAATAAGTTATATCTCATTTATCTATATGGTTTTAATTTCAAATGGCTAGTTTTAATATTATCTAAATTTTTATAGGAATTAAATAATTTTTAAAATAAATTTAAATAAAAAGGAACAATAAGGTAATATATATATTATTTAACACTTAAGTTGAATTTACAACTATTGGAAATATTCTTCTCAATTAAAATATATATTGTATCTAAATCTTATGGAAATTTGAAATTAGTTAGTATATAAATTTTGTATTAAATAAAAAATTATAACTACAAAAATAATATAAAATTTATAATTTATGAAAAATATCTATATTCTTAAAAAAAATTTAAAAGTTGTAAATTGCTTTGAAGTACTTCAAACAATGTTAAAACATTTATAAAAACTTAAAGTTTTCCATAAGTTACACTCTAACAGTTAAGGCTTTTGCCCTAAGTAACACATAAGTAGTCGATATCTATGGTTTAAAGGATATATTAGCAATTAATGAAGAAATTTATATTTTTTGTAAAATATAGTTATTATATTTTTAATTAATTATAAGAGATTTCTTGCATAATAGCATGGTATATTGAATTTTCATGCTCAATGATATTTTAATACCATTAAAGGAAACTATTAAATAAATTTAAATAACTTTTGTATTTATAAGTTACAAAAATATTTTAATTTAAATAAATTTCTCATGTCTCAAAGGCTTTAGATATAGAATATAGATTTTAGGGCTAGGGTTGCGCTTCATGGCATAAATATACTATTTAGCTTAATTTATTTTCAGTTATTTTAAAGGTATTCATGAAGGTAGCTCTAACTATAAAACTAAATTTTATTCAACAAATTTAAATTAACTATTATAAAGTTAAACTTATCTATGTAATTATTTCACAATACAAAATTTACACCACTGTGAATGTTAGTAACAATTCTTACATCGAGAGATGAAACTCTAGTTACCCCTTTTTTTATTCTTAAAATATTAAATTAAAATTTATATTCTTTTCTTTTAAAGTTATTATACAAGAGTAGTGAGCAAATTTGATTGATAAAATATACTTATGAATAAAAATGAATGTATATTTGTAAGTGCTTGGAACACTTGTCCCTCACATATTATATTTATATATTTGAATTTAAAATAAAAAATAAAAAAATTTAGTTTTAATTTTCTTCTGAAATTTTCATCCTTGTACTTAACTTAATAAAATTTTAATACTTCTAATAACATTGAAATCTATTTGAACAGACTCAATATAAATGGCTTTAGATGTTACATTGTTAACCACACTCCTTCCAAGATATCCATTAATAATATGCTGATCACATGGAGTTTTCTGAAAGACAGTCCAATTATAGGAACTTCCTGTGTAACCAAAGTTATAATCCTATATCAAACACTTCACTGAGACAATCACTTGTAATGAAAACCTTTCTTATGGATCATTTGGAGTAATAATTGTGGGTATGGCTACATCAATCACTTTAAGTCAATGTAAAGATTATTACTTACCTTTGATATATAACTCCAACTTCTAGTCCACAACTTTAATACTAGCATCTTCAGGCATAATTTTGCCATTAAGATGTTAGCGTTGTTGATCTAGATAACATTCAAGCTATAAAACAGCATTATAGTTTTAGATCCATGATTCAAACTATTGAACAACCATTAACCTTAAATATTGCAAACTCAAGATACTTATGTGGCAAAGGAAAGCCAAAGTGAGTCTTAAATGGCGTAGTGATGCCACTTTTTGAAAAATAACAAATTTCCTTTCCACACTTTTGGAGCATGATACGTTTTTCAACATTCAATGAGCACATTGGTGGTAGTGGCCGTAAGAGCCATCTTCACAGCAATGTGGAAACACAGAGACAGAGAGGGAGAGCCTCTTCAGAAAGAACAACTACTTTGTCGTACAGAAGTTTTTTCTTGAGCACCTCCACTCGGGTATAGGCTTTGGGATCGATACCCGCATTTACTGCCAGAGCATTGGCCTCTTAGCGTCTCAACTTCTTGAACCGGCTGCTCGTCAACTGGATGATGCTCCCTTCAGCTGGTGGAACCACGGGGTCAGGCATCCCAGATACAGTGCTATAGCACCACTCTCGAGCAGCAGCCATCTTTTGCATTACCGTGCGTACGTCAACATGCACCCTGCCTTCTAGTGCAGCTTCGAAAGAAAGCACATACCGTGTATGCTCCAAAACACCAACATGGCTTCCATCTCGCAGTGACCTGAGAGATCCTTCTGAACTTCAGGCGCCCTCGCGGTTGTACAAACAAAAACATAATCCAGCTGCACAAGCGTATTCCGTGTTGCTTCCAGGACACCACCCCCATACCACTTCTCCAGCTCCCGAATGCTCATGAACTCTGATTCTGAGTGGAGATGCCTTTCGACGTTGGTTGTGTAATGGAGACCAATTATATGCAGCTGGCCACAAGTGTCCATGAAGAAAATGACTGCATCTACGCTCTGATAATTGTCATATCGTTAACTCTGTTGCGTTCTTAAGCTTGCCAATCTTCACAGCTGGAATAGTAGAGAACGGAATGGAACGAAGCTGAGTGATGAAGTATCAGGCAGGATCAATCACCAGTCCCTTTCGAGAAATGACGTCGTTACAGAATCGTTCACACAACCACCCAGCTTCACTCCAATCCAGAAGTGGACTGTGGACTACTGCGCTCGCATAAGCCACCCAAGGGTCATGATCATCACCAGCATGCTTGTTTCGAAACTCCTCCACGTAAATTTGCTGAATGAAGGGCGTACAGAACATTCACTTTTCGACATACGCATACCTAGGATCCACATTTATAATCTGCGCATCGGTGCTGAAATCTCCTTTAGCTTTCATTGACGTCCTTATAGAACGGAAGAGGCTGCTATCAACGAAAGAGGAGATGACTGAATCCCAGTCTTCAGAGCTGTCTAACAGGTCACTGACTTCCTCGGGCTTCAAGTCGAACATCGGAGCCTCGGACCAAAATCCATCCGCCTCTACTTTCACCCGTTCCCGTCCAACCCGTTTCTTAGAGGCAATTTCGATGCAGGTCTTATCCAAGATATCCAGAGAGTGTGGGTGCTTGGCTGCGTAATACTCCACATCGCGTTGCCTATCTTGGTCATCACCAACCACAGCACCTAGAACTGAGGCATGCTGCATAAACGTCTGCAGCTGTTCCTGCAAGACAGTCCACATAAGCATAAACATGAAAGTAAGAACGATCGCATACCTTGGTGAATCCTTCTGAATGAAAGGTTGTCGCTTTTTCATCGAAGGTTCTTTCCACTTCCGTGAAGTGCCAGGCATCGGGTGAGAGTCCAAAAATCACTTTGTAGCTCTCAACAATGTCCTTCAACGACTCCTCCGCTTTAAAACGCTTCTTGCGATCTGGTTTCTTTAATACATCCAAAGCCGGGGCACCATCGACAATAAAAGTGAAGTCATCCCCCAAGGACGTTCGCTTCTTCAGAAAAGCCTTCAGCGAAAGACCTCAGCTGTGACGTCGGGTTGCTCTGCATACGAAAACTTGAGCTCATCAACAAACCAATGAACGAGGCAAGCGCTGGCTAGTTCCATGTTCCAGATACACACCACTTTTCTAGTAGAAACGGAGCACATAAGTGAGGTCAATGCCCTGAGCTTGCAAGACTTCCCGTCGCCCTTGGGACTGACCAGCAGGAATTCCTGACTAGGACGCATATCAAGAATCCACCTCCGAGCTAGATCTTTCAAGTCCGGCAAGCCCCACCACATTAATTCCTCTGCCTGGCCCAAAGTGCCTAGGTAATTAAAATAGCAATAAGAAATATCCACATCTTAAATTTCTAAAATTGGCTAATACTTGTAGCAAATTATTCTCAAAAATCAATTTTTAAATATTAATAAATATCCAAAAAATTAATTTTGAAGCACAAAAAATTATTATTATCTGATAAAAAGTCTAAAATGCTATTATTACACATTCAAATGCTTAATATTATATTATTTACTTCTTGATATATTTTAAGTATTCGGATGCTAAATGTAAAGCATATATTCCCAGAAAGATATATAAACTAATATATGATTTTGTCAATGAAAAGTTTGCCATCTTAGTCTCGACGGGGAACTTGGAAAAGCAGCAAGAAGGAAATAAGACGCAGTAGTGGAGACAAATTTTTCAATGAATTTGATCTCTTTCCCAAGACAAAGTCTGCCAACCACGTATATAAAACACCCAATCGAAAATGAAATGAAACACACACTTCTCTTCTAAAGATCGTCAAGATCCAACTATTTATTTGGATATTTGTCCTTTTCAGTGGCAGTGAAGCCGATAGCCATGGCGCGTGGTGATGCATGAGTTCAATAATATATATTATATAAACTGTGAAAAAAACTAAAGATGTTGCCTTTACTCATCTGGATTCACTCGTGTGTTGTTCTATGTCCCAGCATTATAGAAAAGAAAAGGAATTGACAAACTCGGAACGATTTCCTCGACTAACTTTCAAAGGACAAAGTGATGCGGCCCCAAGAGACGCCACAGCATTGTATGCTGCCTCCAGCTACAAATACGAGTGGCCTCACAGATCAAATCACTTCTCTCGAATATACTCGTTGAACTTTTAGTTTTAGCAGCAAATCATGGAGAACCAAGGCTTGCTTGGTGTTGTTTTCGGTGCTT